TTTGTTTCTGAAATTGTTAATATGTTTAGGTATTGTAGCGTGAATGCCTTTTTTAATATATTAATTTTTAACGGGACGTTTTAAATAATTCCTAACTAATATGCTTGCACGCAATGCTATCTAACATGCATGTTTTTATTTTTCCTAACGAATAACGTGTAATAAATAACAATCAATTGGTCAAAAAATAACATGCTAATTGTTTTTCTTTCTCGATAATTAAATGTAATTGTTTTTCCTGTGACATGTGTATTGTTTTAAAATATTATCTTTCCGAGGTGTATTTCCGTAAATAAATAGTATTTTTATTTTGAATAGGAACAAAAATCAAATAATGTTGAATTATTTAAACTAATGTAAAATAAATGTAAAAAAAAATTAATAAGAAAAAAAACGACTTTTTTATTGCTTTGAACAAAAGATAAATATTAGGCATAACTTGTAAAAATCGAGTTGAGTCTCACACAATTTTCCTGATATTATGATCATTTCATAGAAAGGTTTATCTTAAAATGTGTCGTAAAGAATTTCTCGTAAATTTTTTTTTAAAGAAAGCAGATAAAAAGACGATGGTTAATTGGATGTTATTTTATTTCATAACCACCGTTGAACGGGTAACACATTTCTGAGTTTACGCATATCAATGTTCAATTCTGTAGCCTTAAAATATGAACCAACCCAGAAAACAAGGAAACTCCTGGGACAAGCATTGCGAAAATCTATAGCCTTCGTGCAGGACTTTTTGAAGAAACTAATCACACTTACGATAAGCAGGCATACCCTTTCCTTGAGGATATAAATAGTAGAAATGCATGACCAGTTAGTAGTACAATGTGTATGTTTGAGTAGTTTGAAAGTTATGGTAGTGATTTTTTTTATATTTTACAACCGTCGTTGAATAGCTGACCCACTTTTGTGTTTACGACTACTAATGTTAAACTCCTTAGACTTGTAATTTTGAACCAATCCAGAAGACAAGAACACTCCTGGATCAGTACCTCCAGAGGTATGATTTGTTATGGGAACATGGAGGATTTTGTGACAAGACAGATTTAACGTGCATCAGTCACCATTTTACTATGCGGGGAGTCTTTGGCCGGCGGGATTTGAACCCGCGTTCTCTTGGACATGGGCCCAGGCAGGCTATCCCAGCCCTTCTGTAGTGATTTGTGTTAAATAGTTTAACTTATTATTATAGTTAATTAGCTTAAATAGAGAAAAATAAACAAGCCTGTTTTTTTTTCTTTTATCGCATTAACCTAAACAAATCGGGAATTTAATGCTACAAAATATAGGTTGTTTCGTAAAAGCTACCACGATGTATATTTTTAGTACCCTTTTACTTTTATGACTTCTATTTTTTAAAATAGAAGTCATAAAAGTCTGCGTAGTGGGAGTCGTGAATTTAATAGAGAGGAAAAAAGAAAGAAAACGCTATCAATCGCCGCCTGAGGGGATCGGTCTGAAAACATCAAAACTTGGTTCACTGACAGAGGAAATATGGAGACTTATAAAGCAATTATAAAAAACACCAAGTTTAAACCGTATTCAAAGTGGTTTTAATATTTTCTCTACCCCATCTTCATTACTGTAATGCAGTGTTTCCCAAAGTGTGGTACGCGTACCCCCAGGGGTACGGGAACAGTTTAGAAGGGGTACGCGTTCTTATGCGAACATCTTATAGCAAAAGAACATTTCAAAAAAAATTATTTAAAAACGAAGCTCTCCATGAAAATTTACAATTAAGTATTTTTCTATTGGCTATTTTTTGCTGAGTTAACAGTTAATAATTACTATTGTCAAAAGCCAGTTGTAAATTTTAACTTTCGTGCAATTTTTTTTATAGTAAAAGACACAGTAATTTTTTTTATTAGGGTACACAGCGTTACGAAAAATTTAGAAAGGGTACACTAAAGTCATAAGTTTGGGAAACACTGCTGTAATGGTTCGATTTTGACAAAGTATTTTCTTTTTCTCTCTATCGCTGAAATGCTGATTTGAGACTTGCTAAATGGGCATATTTATTATTTTTTTCTTCTTTCGAAAAGGATTCTGAAAGTTTATAATAAAAGCTTTTTACGAAGCACACCGCATGTTCTGTATGTTTTAAATCCTCGGATTTCGAATTCATAACAAACTTTTAAAAAGAAAAAATAATAATAAATCTAGCTCTACCTCTTCGTATTTCACTCAAGGAAAAAAGAAAAAATAGAATCCTTGAATATTAATAAATAAAATTTTTAATGTTATTTTAAATCATATAAGAAATATTTTCAACTCTAAAAATTAACATGTTTTAGTGTGTTTTTTTTTTATTCGTTTTAATACGATAAGGTAAAATGAAATTTAATTCATCGCCGTTAAAACCAGCATACGAACTCTTTTTTTCCCACTACCATAAAAAAATAATTTTTTTCAAGTATTTCTCTTTATTTCAAAAGAAGTATAAATCACGAAAAAAACACTCTTATTATGGCACATCTAACCATATCTTGAAAAATGGGTTTTCAAAACAAAAAGATTAAAATCAAAGTCGTTAACTAGGATTTTTAAAAAGATACTAGGATCATCAATCATTGAATTGGCGACTTTTTCCCAAATGCAAATACATCATAACCCTCTTAAGTTCTGAGGTGCAAATTTGTACGCGCATCGTTGAATTTGATTGGTTAACGAACGGCTTTGGCGAAGCGCTGTTATTGGAAATCTTAAATTTGCTAGTCGCTCTGTCTGTACATTTGTCTTTTTTTCCAGATAGATTTTTTAGTTTTGTTTTTGTAACTACAATATAATATCACTTCCGTTATATTAAATTAAGTGTTTTTATTTACAATTTTATGTATTTACAATTATTATTTCTCAGTTACAGCTGCCATAATGAAACAATTCATGAAATCTTTAAATTAAAAAGCACTCTTTTTATTTCAGTAACAAATTGACTTTTTGTTATTGGATGAAGTTAGTTCTTTAGCTTAACTCTGCAAATCTACTATTTGAAATGTTTGTTGTTTCTTGTGTTTTATTTATTTTCCTATAAACTACTGTGATCAGCGGTGGTCTAAATTGAGTTTTAAATCTGTTTACATTTTCAAATGTATTAATGTTTTAATTTTCCGGTGATTTTACAACACTCAAATTAAAAGAATACTTTTTTATAGTTCAGCTACATAGAATTAACCATTTAATGTGAGTAACAAGTAAGCTTTCTGTTAGTTGCTTTGGTTTTACATTGCAAATTTGTAATTTTTGTTACTTCTTTTGTTTTTTATTCTTTCTATCTACTAATTTGCTGACCCTTGGCTTAAATTAAGTTTTAATATAGGTTACATTGTGCAATATATTAAAAGGCAATAGGTATTTCATGATTTAATTTTAAGGTTACTTATTTTTGAGCTCAGTTTAACCATTTATTATACTAGTAAATATTTTATGCATTTCTATATTGATTTTCTTAAAAGATATAAAATGTAATAATTTTCATTTTTAAATTTTTCTAAAATGTAGGTGTAATATCAGTATATTATATTTAAAATTTGGTTTAAGTATTCATACTTAACATTATATGATTTTAAAAATTCCTTTGCTAAGTTGTGAGGTAAATTGTGATTTGGAGTTGTGCACCTGTTATATTTAGTTGTATTAATTAAAATTCATTATAATTTCAATAATTTTTAGATCATAATTTTTTTTCTAAAAAAAGAGTTTTATATTACTTGTTTACGTAAAATATTGAAGGATTACAGCTGTTTTAAGCCGTTAAATTTATTTTTCTTGCTTATTGTATTTTAGTTATCATATATTTGAAAAAGATTTATTGTAGCTTGAAAATCTTTATACAATCTATATTATCAATTAGATTGTAATTATAAGATGCTTTATAAAAAGTTGTATTAATGTTTGATATTTCTCTAGGAAAAAGTGTTACTCGGGAGAAAAAAAACATATATATTCTTGGGCAATGGAAAGATTTCCCTATCATGATCTGTAGCTGAATAATCTCCAAATATTTGCAACTTCCGGGCAGTGGCTTACAAGGTACTGGACACCTTACAGACGAAGACCAACTTGAAGGGTATATATCTCATAACCTCCAATCAAGATTGTATATCTTTTTTTTTTTTTTTAAATTTAGATTTTGAAATCCATTAAATGCATTGGCAATTGCAATTTACACGACAGGTTCTTGTGATATGGAAAAATTCCTGGAGAGATTTCATTTACTATCCAGGGTTTTAGTTTTTGCATCAAAAGCTGGTTTTGACACGACATGTCAAAAACCTGTCAAAAAGTAAAATAAACTGTTTGTCGAAATGTGGCAAAAACTTATAAAAACCATGACAAGTATCTTTTTTGTCATTGAAGATATTTTATTAAACACCCATCTACTTAATTATTTCAATCATGCATAATATTTGCATTATAATTACTCATATAATTATTATTCATATTATACATCATATATTAAAAATGTATCTAAAATAATTTATTTGCTTTCTTAATGACTAATGTATTATTTATATTTTAAGGTTATTATGTCCGATATATTATAACTGTTAAGTTTACATTACAGATAATTACTATTGTTCTAATTGTTGAGTTGGAAGTTGTTATTCGTCTGAATATTGATGGTACAATTTAGACAGATTTCTTAGCTTAATTAAAACTAAAGTTGTCACTAATAATTGTATAATATCAACCTGTGGATTTTTTTTGTAATTCACATTATTTGTTTTTCATGCTCATGTGTGCAGCGTGAAAAAAATAAGCAGACCACCCGGAATGATTTTTGATCTAATGATCAGATCTTCACATTCTAATCTTCTTCTGATCTAATGTTTTTTGCACTAATGTAAGATGGACAAATACCTAGTAAAGGCAAAATCTTCTATGATGCAGCAAGAATATTCAATGCTTTAAAAAATAGAAGATGTTAAAAATGTATTATAATGAAAGAAATTTTTTTTTCAAGGCTATATGTATTTTTTCAGTTTTTAGAAATCTTACCCTGTTTTTGAGAAATTCTCACCCATTTTTTTTCTATGATGAAAACACTGGTGTATAATATTTGGTAGCTTCAGCATAACTTAATATGAAAATATTGTATTCACACAAATTTAATCAAATATATTATTTTCAATAAATTTTATCTATCATTTAGATATTTCAAATGGAAAATACTACTTATAAACTGCAATAGATTTGAAGTGAAAATTAAAAATTTGACTGTAGCAACTGTTTTATCTGTTAAACTCTGACTTATTTTATTAGCTCTGTGGGGAGGAAAAAAGATTTTCTTCTATTTTTTTATTTTGTAACTTCATTTATTAGACTTTCTATTTTTCAGTGACTGTACTTTGTGCTGAAAAAAAAAAAAGAAATCACAATTGTTCTCAATTTCTATATTTTTTTTCCAGTAGTGAATTAGATAAATTGCAATTTTACAAATTCTGAGTCATAACTATTTATTATTGATAATCATCCTCTTCACCAAAGCTTATGATTTTCGACAGTGATTCTCAAAACTAAAAGGGGGTTAATGTCAGAACGATTGAACATCATAGTTGATCACTTGTTATTTTCTTTGTATATTTATTTATAATTACTTCACATTTGTATTAGCTAATTATTTTCTCACCTAAAATTTTAGGTTTCTGATATGACTGTTAAAACTATGGTTAAATCTGGATAAAACAGTCAATTGTCAAATGCGTGCCAACTTTGACTTTAGTGGTTTCGTTTGTCAGTTTTCTCCACTGTGAATAAACCTTGTCCTCTTAGCTTCAATTTTGATTTTTTTCCCAGGCATGAAAATTTACTTCATTTCAATGAAGTAAGTTGTCATGCCTTTACTCTGAAACATTGTTAAATACTCTTCTATGGATGTTTAGTTGAAATTTTATAACATTTTTCTATTCTCTTTCAGAGCATATTCTCAAGTTTGAAATGACTTTTTACAAAGTACACTGGATGAGGAACACAGGTTCAGGATCTATTTATCCTTGTGGTATGGGTTGACAAGAGAGTATGAAAACAAGGTATTTTTCAGTTAGCTTGGCAAAATAAATTTAATTATTTAATTTAATTTTTATGTGTTAAAAAAAGTTGGAGGTCTACATTTTTCANAAAGGGGGTTAATGTCAGAACGATTGAACATCATAGTTGATCACTTGTTATTTTCTTTGTATATTTATTTATAATTACTTCACATTTGTATTAGCTAATTATTTTCTCACCTAAAATTTTAGGTTTCTGATATGACTGTTAAAACTATGGTTAAATCTGGATAAAACAGTCAATTGTCAAATGCGTGCCAACTTTGACTTTAGTGGTTTCGTTTGTCAGTTTTCTCCACTGTGAATAAACCTTGTCCTCTTAGCTTCAATTTTGATTTTTTTTCCCAGGCATGAAAATTTACTTCATTTCAATGAAGTAAGTTGTCATGTCTTTACTCTGAAACATTGTTAAATACTCTTCTATGGATGTTTAGTTGAAATTTTATAACATTTTTCTATTCTCTTTCAGAGCATATTCTCAAGTTTGAAATGACTTTTTACAAAGTACACTGGATGATGAACACAGGTTCAGGATCTATTTATCCTTGTGGTATGGGTTGACAAGAGAGCATGAAAACAAGGTATTTTTCAGTTAGCTTTGCAAAATAAATTTAATTATTTTATTTAATTTTTATGTGTTAAAAAAAGTTGGAGGTCTACATTTTCCACCAAAAATATTTCTTTATGCAGGTGTAATTATTTCTTCCTTTTTTGCTGTTTACTTATATTTTGTGGCTTTTTTTAAAAACATGATATTTACTTTGTAAGAGGAAGATATAATAATTTATATTTATTAAACATTTCTATGTTTAAAATTTTTGTTTTTCTTTTAAATTCTAGTTTTTCACTAAGTGTGGTAAAGTAATAAGCATTTCATTCAAGTTATTTGTTGATGAAATTATTTTATTAAAAGTCTGTTTATTTTTATAGATTAGTTTTTAGTTTTCACATACAACTTATTTAATGTTTCTTTTGCTTTTGTTATATTGCTTCAGCCAAAAAATTTTTAATCTTTACAAAAATTAATGATCAATTTAATTTGCCATTTTAAAGTTTTTATAATATTTTTCTCAATGTTTTCTGTTCATTAAGTAAATCTATTGTGTATAAAGTGCAAAGTTTATATGAAATACAAAATATTTTCAAGTCAAAATCTACCATCCTTTTTTTAAACTCTTAATTATTGAAGATTGTTACCAATTGAAGATTATTATGGTCTTTGGTGTAATGTATTCATAACATTTCAATTTTATAGCTGATTTCTTTTATAGCCAGGCAAGAGATTCATCTGACTTTGGACAAAATTTCAAACTTTTTAAACATCAGAAAAAAATTCCGGAATTAAAAAAAATATCTCTTGTGTCTATTTTTCTTAATATTTCTACATTATTTTGTTTTACTTTACTATGTTATCCTATTTAATCATGATAATCTTTAGTTTGTTAGACTGCTAATGTGCACAAATTAAAGATAACTCTAAATAAGTATGTAAATAATGAAAATTAGTTTTACATACTTTTTTTTAATTATTTTTTCATGAGTTGATATGTGTATTTTAGCATTTTTATTCTTTTCCCACTCTTACAACAAGCCTAGTTAGTCACTATAATAAGCTATCTGATTAGAGGAAATAGTCACTCCTGGGTCGGGGAAGCCTGTTTCAGATGCCTCAGACTTTTCTGTTGTCTTGTAGAATTTGGTCAGGCATAAATTATAGTATTGTAAGTTTTTAGTGTCACACCAAACGAGAAAACTTTAGTAGACCAATGGGACTACTATTCTTTTAGTGGTCCAAAAACTTAATGTGGTAGATAAACTTGAGGGTAAAAAATAGAACTTACATTTGCATAATTTATGTTATGGTACACATGCTATGAAATAAGAGACAGCATGTAATAAGAGACAGAAAATAAAAAACAGAAATCAGGACACATATAATAATGAAACTTCACTAGAATTTATTTGCATTAATAAATATTAATAAAAAAAATTAAAGTTCTCTGTTTTTAGATAAATGCAGTTTTCATGAACTTCTATCGACATAAAAAATTAAAACCATACACATCAATAGCATTACACTGCAATGCATCTTATACATAAATCGGAACTTCAGTTTTTTTTATTTTAACAAATGCATTGTCTGAAATAGTAAATATCATGTAAAGTAATTTTTATCAACAACATTAAGAATAATTATTATAAACACTAGGTATGCTTTTACCGTAGTTATAATATAAGATGTAAAATCTTTTTTCTTAACTATCCTGTTCCTCTCTATCCCCAACATTTAAAAACTAATAGTTTGATATAGAATGATTTAGGAGTACTATTTATTAAAGTTCAGTTTAAAAAAAAAGCTATAACATTTATAAATAATTTAAACATACTGAGTAGAATAATAAATTCAACATACTAATGAAAAAGGGAAGTGCGTGGAGAGACCTCTCCAGAGTAGCCACTTTCCAGAAAAATTTAAAAGCTGGTAGCAATTGTCATCGAAAAATATTTCTAAATTTATGTGTTAACAGCTGACAAATTGTATTCCTAAAACTTCCCTAAAATTAAAGCCTTTAAAATGTACAAGAACATCATGAAGTAGTTGACACCACTTTTAAAATTTTTCTAGATTGTTGGCACCCTGAAACAGGCGGGAGAACTTCTATACTTATGTATTTCTATTATATTCGCTGCCGAAGCCTTCAGCTTAGAATAATAAATTTAGAAAAAAAAATTTCAAATGCATGGAATTCAGTACAAAAAAAATTTTTTTCATTGCCATTTTGTTAATTCTAAACATTTCAACAAATTTGTCACCCATGCATATTATTTCAGTGACTTTTGTAGAACGTTTCACGAAGATTGTCGCCATATTGGCGTAAAGCTTATAAATTTTAATCAAACTCGTTGCAGTATCTAGTTCTTGTGATACCGACCCATTTATTCAATTCAATAAGTTAGCAATTTCAAACAGTTGATAATTCTCTACATCATGCATCTCAAATTTATTTTAATGCTAATACAATTTTTTATATTTTTAGGGTGAAATGGGCATGGTCTTAATAGACTTCATCCTAATGGCTGTGATAACAAATCTTATTTCTTTTTAAAAGTTATGCTGCTGATCCAAAAGTACAATTTTCGTTCCTAATATTTCGGGTAAGTACAGTTTTTTTTTGGGGGGGAGGGGGATTTTCTTGTTTCTCAAAATCTATTGTATTTATGTAACTTTAAGTACATACTGTTTTTTCTATTCACTTTATCATGTTAATAGAAATTTATCTTTGGGTTTGTTGATAAATCATTTTAATTGTGCAAATTTTTTTCTTCCCATTACAATTGTTACATACCAAAAATAGCATTTTACTAATATATTTAAAGAGATGCTTACAAAAAACTGACTTAGTTGTTGACTAAAAACTGGGTAGTTTTGTTAATTAAATAACCATTCAACTGAAGCATATTATTTAAATGTAATTTTAAAACCATATTTATAACCATAATTTTAAGAAGAAGTTTGGACTTCATAGCTTTGCATAGCTACAAATGCACTCAATAGTCTTGCAGATCATCCAGACATGGTTCCCAATGGAACGTCAAGCATCACTGACTGAGGTCAGCGTGTTGGTGACCGTTGGTGTTGGTCAGCGTTCAACTCTATGCTTTCATCAGCGCACCCTGAAAAATATATAAACAAATTTAAAGAAATAAATGTACAGA